GATTGATGGAAATGAAAAATGCATTATCAAAAGCGTGGTCGATGGTCTTAGTGCAAGTTTATTAACTTTGGATGCTTTGGTCATTTTCATTTGAACAGTTATTTAATAAACAGTGGTAACTGTCATTATGGATACTTGAAGTATATACGCATATAGCAGACCCTTGTGATGGTCCCGTGACTGTCCGTTATACACAGGTTTCATTGTATCCAAGAAAAATTTAAAATGTTCAACTCCAATTGATATTTTTACTGCTTTAAAGTTTAAGTATAATTTATGAATTCTATTTAAGAAACTCAGGATATAGATATGACTATTTTGAAGAAACAAAATACTGCGTCAGGAGTTGAATTATATAACAATAAAAAATTTAAGCCCAAAAAAGATGAAAGTATTTTATAGTGAAAAAATGATATTGGTACCTATATTAAATGATTTTCAAAAGAATTTTGAAATATTTACATTTTATGTGATTATTGATTGAATAGCATGTAAATAAGACGAATGACGACTTTCGTTATGATTTCTACTACAGTAAATTGAATGTACTCCATAAGCTAATTTCAATAAGTGTTTCAAAAATAACAGTATTAATTATTGCGATGAATGTTAGTGCGTGCATAATTCGTAAATTTCGTTATCGAGTACCGGACACCGACGGCTCACTTCCAGCTTATAAGTTTTCACAAGCTCAGGCACATGTCAACGGTACAGTTCTTATCAACATATTATATACCCCATGCTATTCAAAATATAGCAAAATTCAAAAAAGTTAGACAAAATTGAAGGACCTGGATTCGACGGATTTTAATTTTGAAAATGTATAATTAATATAATTGACATAATTAGTCATTGCGTTGGTTAGGAAATGGTCGAGGGGATTTTATTTATTCATATTCTTCGATAAAATATCGACAATTTAAAAAATAATAATTTTTGTATTTCATATATTTGAATATGCCATTAATTTTTGCAATAATAATACATTTTCACTGCCAGTTTTAGTAGAGTTGTTGAAGATTTTTAATTAGTTTTCGAAATTAAAGTCTGCCAAACCCAAGTCTTACAGTTTTGTCTAGCTTTTGGCCTGTGATACGTGATTATGTCTACTTGATCTAGCCCCCTTGACTTAATCAATTAATAACATAATACTTAATTAAAACTAATGTATAATAAATTAAATAAAATAATGTTAAAATAATGTAAAATAATTGAAATAAAATAATGTTGAAATAATGTATAATTTACGGAAATCTAAGATATCGCCCATTTTCTATATACCCACTAACACAAATATTCGATTTTTATTTATAATAATTTATTTGACTAATGTAATAATAATGGACTCATCAGTTCGGCGTGGTTGAGGTATCTTTCTTAACTCTTTTGTACATATTTTCATTAAGTTTTTTATTTTTGTAATTCATCTAAAGTATTAAAATTAAATTACTGTTTTATCATAATAGATACCTAGATATTGGAGAAACAGTGGTTTAAATAGTGAAAAATATTGTTTGTAAACACTAGGCATGTGAGCATGAAATAGGAGTTTTAGTTAGTCTTAGTTTCAGTTAGAAATATTCATTTTGATTATTGGATGTTTTTTCTACTGATTGTGCAGATCGCTGATTTCCAAGACGATAATAGAATTAGAGTTATTTTTATGTTTTATAATATTCAATCATTTTAAAAGATTTTTTGTGTTTTGGCCATAAAAAAAATAGTGTCATTGCATATGTCTAAATGACGCAGAACTCATAATGTTTATAACAACAGTTTTGTAATCTAGAATGTCTTTCAAATAAAACTAGAGTAAGTCATAAAATAATTGAGTATATTTTTATTAAATATCATGGTAATAAACCTGAAGAGTAATGTTATAACTTATAAGTTATAACCGATATCAATAATAATAGTGATGATGAATTACAGCTATAGTGTTGGTTTGTATTAATTTTTTCAAAATTAATCAAGGTAGCTTCTTTAATCATGTAAACGGTTTGTGGTTATTTATTATTGTTTTATTTTTTTTGTTTAAACTAAATTATTTATTATTACTATCATAATATACCTATTTTTTTAGATAGGCGTTGGTATGTAAACATTTTAAATACTGATGTAAGTAATGTGTATTGTCATTAATATTGTGTATAATATATGAATAAAGTGATATAAGAGTATAAGGATTTAGGTGATTTAGGAATCACATCAGAGGTCTGAGATTTTTTTATATTTAAAATCATCGCTTAAAAGAGATTGATTTTCAAAGAAATAAAGAAAAGGTAAGTCAATAAGACAATGTGCTTCCATTCCGATTCTATTTATTATTATTTGTTTGTGATTTATTGAAAATCAACTGAAAAGTTATTACTTTTTTTTACTCAACTTATTTAAGGTATTTGAGAAAGTCAGAATCTATTTAAAAATATTTTTACAATCTTTTCAATCTTTTCATATTTTTTGCTATTTAGTATACTCTATAATCATTAGTATTTCTTATAAAACTAAAAAAAATTTTGAATATTATTTCAACATCTTATGAATAATTTTAAATTACTTAAAAAAACTCATACAACATTGTTTGATAATGTCTATGAAAGTTTTTTATAAGCTACAATTTAAAAAACAAGTTTAAGAACATTTTGTATTTTTTGGTTTCAATTGTAGGTATTTCAAAATGTTTTCGTAACATACTACCATGTATTTAATAAATATTTAAATAACTGTTAAACTAATTATTTATGAAATATTTGTTTGAAAATAGTTTTATGGTGATCATACATTTTGAAAGCATTTTTGTTGTTTCCAAATATTGTGTTACGTAAGTAATATAATAATTCAGCTACTTGTTTAAATTATTAAACACAATTATATTTATTGAATTATATTTTAAGTATAAAAAAGGAAGCTATATTTCGAACTCATCACTTTAGGAAAAATCTGAAATCTGTCTAATTATGTGATATAAATAAATAGTTTTTTTCTTCTTTGAAAAGTAGTTGAAATATAACATAAAATTACTTACTTATTACAAGACGTGTTAAAAAAATATAGACTTAAAAATGAGCCATAATAAAAAAATATGTATAGGACTCCTAGGTTTTTAGTCGGCATCGTTGGATCTTTGTCTATAAATTAAATATTTTTTATTAAATGCATACAATTGTAACATTGTATAATAAAATCAAGTTGCTATAATACTACTATAGTTTACTAAAAAGGTTTTGCGTGCTCTCTAGTCATTATACTTGAATTCCTCACTAGATTTGGACAACCTTCTATTTAAAATGCCTTTTACATTTCAATACTCAAAACTGTAATTTTCTATCATCATTTAGTAATTTTTGGTTGGTATATGGTGGTTATAAAGCACTGAATAATATTATCTAAAAAAACTTTTTTTTGTATAAAAAAGAGATGATTAAATCTTGGGTGCGCCGGGAAAGGTAGTTTTTGAAGCAGAAAGAGCCGGAGTACGAATTCAGATTTTTAAGAATTTTTTTTTGCATCCCACATCCTTATACATCATGCCAATTGCTAATAGTAAAAACTAAAAATTAATTTTATACATGTTACTTAATTAATTATGAAAAATAAATTGAATAAAGAAAACTGAATTTATTTTATTATCAAGAACATGATCACAGCCTCGGAACACTATGTTTTTCTATTTGTCGTTACATTATCGGTGCATAACAACAAGATAAATTAGTGAAAAAGTTGTGACCAGCACAATTGCTCTTTCCATCCTAATTATGCACATATGCATGACACTTATAAAATATAAGATCTATATTATAGGTATAAGGCAATTTTTGAAGCAGGTTTGTCCACTTACAGACATAATCAACATTAAGAGTACGGGCAACTTTACTCGGTTGTCAACAATTTTTTGTAAATATTTTCATCAAATCTACAAATTATGTGAAAAAGTTTCAGGCCAGAGAAACATTATTGTCCAAATTTCAGTTATAACATATGTTATAATTATAAATATAAAATATATTTTATCATGCTTTTAGTCGGCAAAATCGCAGGGAAAGAATTAAAACATTGTTTCTCGATAGGTATCCTTTGATCTTTAGCGTCTTTATTCTTACTTAAGTGGAAATAATATTTTATTGCCAACAATGTATGGAAATCTATGTTAGTCTGGACGTAGCTTACACTTAAACATTTATTCAAACTCTGATTTTCTGATATTTTCATGTTATATACTTAAGTTCACTACTTAAATATAAAGGTAAATTTCTAAACAATTTGAATATTTTTATACGGGATTTCAGTAGCTGATCACGTGATTATTATTTCACAAAGGTTGAAGCTTACAATAAGTTCTATATTTACTACGTGCTGCACGACGTTGCACTATACAATCGCCCATATAACAGTACTTACCGTTCCTGACTTGAGAATAATAAAAAAAAATAATAGTGTTTGATGTGCGTACCAGAGTATTACCAGCTAAGATGTGTGGACTTTGGCACAAAATCCTCGGAAAACCATGTGACGTACATTTTCGAGGTATATATTTTTTATTATTTTAGATATATTATAATACTTATCAACCAGAGAACTACCTGACTCTTTACGCCGGAGCATTGTCGCACTGCACAACTTAAATTTTATGTTTAACGGCACTCGTGGACCGCGACGTAAAAACGATTTTGCTCCGCAGATGTGGAGAAAACCGTCGGTGGCCTGGTTTTTCACGAGGGAACAAGATAACTACTTGTTTTCTCCCTTTGACCCTCCCGCAACTTGATAAATTTAACTAGACTGATCAGTCGTATGTGTTCATAGCTTTTATATTATTAGAACCAGGGGCAGACTGGAAGGTAGCCTAGTATTCTACAACACTAATTCCCGACAAATTGTGTTCAGAGGAATTATCCATCCCTAATTACAAGAAATAAACATACTGTTGTCTTTTTTTCATTAAAATTTTATATTTTTTAATAAAAGAAATTTGAATTTTATTTTATTACATTTTTGCAGATACTTCTTACTAATTACTTTAAAAATCAGCGTTCAAATAATACATTGTTTTCAACTATAACTAAATACAATTGTAATGTATAGAGTAAGGTAGGGTTCGCAATGACGGAATTGAAAGTTTCAACGTCTGACGATTCGTTTAACCCAGTAGAAATGACGTTTGCCACCGTGGATATTGGCGAAATCCAGTTTCTGTCAACCGTCTTGTCGTCTTTGCCACTGGTTCGGCTGGTCGAAGCCGACGCGTCGCGCTGCAGCTAAGTCCGATAAACAACATTGCAGCACAGTTTGGTCACGCTGAGTTCACAAACGGCTAGACAAAACTGTCGGACCACGAGACAGTTAGTTTTCGGGGCATGGTGACCCGGGGCGGCCGCGGAGATGTACGAACCGACCCGACGGTAAACAAGGTCAGTCCTAGACGTGGCTCATTTGTGGAGCCGGACGAAGAGATTCGTCCGGCGAATGTTTTGTTCCGGTGTTATTGACATAGACCGTAATTGAAAGTTCGACGAGTTTGACCCACACGGTCCCATTGTACTTGTCCGCTCTACACTTTTTTTGTCCGAATGAACTCATGTCGTGTTCGCCGGACGATGTCATTTTCTGTTGGCCATTGTGAGCTTTCGTCCCGACATCGCTCCACACCTGAGTGATCGAGGCCGCCTGTCGTCTTCACCGGAAAATCTGTTTGACGTCATTTTATTGTATGGTAAAAAATGTATTATAAAAATAAAATATAAACTGAAAAAATTGCATTCATTATTTATTAATTATTATTATTGCATTTTTTTAATTGCATAGATGGTAATAATCTGGAGAAATTTGTAACTTTCTTCTAGATCAGAGATATGAAAATTTGAAATGATAATTTTTTCAAAATCTGCTTTATTTACTTGTTATTTCTGATTCAATTGTTAATATGCCAACTCAAAAGCTATTTCTTAGTTCATTCTAAAGTTGACCATAAATGTTTTTGTATTTATCTATATTATTTTTCGACTAATCGATGAAAACAATATACATTTTGAGCTATATAATTGCATTTAAAGTTGTAATAGAAACTTATAATAATAATTAAAATATAAAATAAAATAATTTTATTTATTTTTTATATAACTAATACACAATAATAATATTAATTAACCACCCCTGAATGAACTAAACAATCCCCCCCTAGTCAACAGGGTATACTTTCCCCTCACCAAAATATGTGCCTGTTGCTATGACCTAAAAAAGTACAAAAAACAAATGCTTTGATTACTTGAAAACTGTACTTACATAATAATAATAAAAAGTGATTAAGCGAATGACGAGTTGCTGTACAGTAGGTTTCAAGCGTAACTTCCTGCAACAGGGTTATAAATGGTGTTAAATTTTGAATTCAATCGTATACGAAAAACAATTCTGACCGGTTTTAGCCGATGCTATTTTATATTATGTCTGTATTGTTATTATTAATACTGTGGCCGAAAGTTGATTTAATATTATTTGCATATCATCATATTTGTATATAATAATACACTCGAGAAGCTTCAAGTACCCACGAATAATATTTTTTAATTTTAAGGCAAAACTAAAATCGTTATTCTTAGTTTAAATATCTAATCTCGTTCAAATTTGAACTTAAAATATGTATAAGAAAAAATGTTTACATAATATCTTTTACATTTTTTGGTTACAGAACAAACTACTGATGGAGAACTTAGTATTACATTTTTAAGCTTTTTGACGTAGGTAGTGATAATTTTTCTATAGACAATTACTGGAAAAAATCATCAATTTGACATGTTTATTAATAGATAAAAAATTTTCAACAATTAATAAACTCATGCCACGTATAGTCGTATGGAATTCGCTAATATAAATATTTTGTGAACATTAATTAAAGTACTACCTTTATTTGTTTTTAAATTTCATCAAAAACAAAAACCGTTTTCTCGAAAAAATTCCAGTTTTTCTTAATTAGTAATAATTACTAAGAAAAATACTATCCGTATTTTTTTTTGATTTTGACTTCTCAGAAGTATCGACCAGATTTATTTTCCGACCATAAAAGATATAGAAGTTTAAAATCAAAGCATTTTTTGTACTATAAATCGTGTACACTGTACACACACACAAAAAAAAATAACTTCATTGTAAAATCGTTTTGCTCTGAATTTTAAATTGACTTATTACATTACAATGAATAGATTTATTTCGATTAGTTTTTCAAAGCCTTTGTAAATCTTAAGTATATACATTATACATACTCATTGACTACGGGGTTCCTAAAAATAATCCTTCAGAGGCCTATGGTTCGGAAGACCGACATTGGTCAAAACTGTTGAGTCTTTAAAACTAGGTTAGAAATTATATTAGAATTTAATAATTAGTCACATTGGGTACCCATATCAATTTCGGCCAAACGATACATTATTATAATTATAATTATTAACTCTCGCATGGCACAAACGATGTTAATGCAATATAAAATCAGTCGTCCGTATACATAATTTGCACAGAAAACGTACGTAGGTATTAAATTTGCTGATGAACGTGATACACTGAGATAATATTCGGATTTCACCATTTAGGGTTACTAGATTGTCGATATTATACAATAGTAATATAATTTATTATAATCTATTTGTATACCATCATGAGGTCAAGTTCGGTGCATCCCCGAGGTCGCGGTGGTGGCCTCCCGAAAACCGCGCGGACGGAATATAATAACAATAATATTATTATTCATTACAATTTATAATATTGTGAAGACGAAGTGCGTCGCTCTTATATATTATTATTTATCACTGCTAACGTGCACCTACCGCGGTACGACTTGCACTGCGTTCCGTCGAGCGCATGACAGGCGGCGCGGCGGCGGCGGCGGCATTTCTCTCTCGGCGCGCGCGGACCACCTGTCGCCGACGATCGCTCGCCGCCACAACGCGACACAATATATTCGCCCGCGCGACGGTAAGGACAATCGTCGTCGCGCGTCGCCGTCGAGTCTCTCTCCGAGCGCGTAAAAGAGTGTACCGCGCGCGCGTGTGTGTGTGTGTGTGTGTGTGTGTGCGCGCGTGTATTCGCGTCGTGTGCTGCCGCCGCCGATAACTGATCAACTTCGTCGGTAGTCGTCGAATTCGAGTCACGTAACGAGCGAAATAAATAGATTGATATCGTATAAGTACACGCGCGCCAGCGAGCGCCTCTCTTCTTTATTAGATTAATACACGATATTGTATTGTTAATAAAACATCGTTTAATAATTGCAATATTATTGTATCGGTATTTATTATAATATTACCGGCGATTCGTTCGTCTTTCGGCGGTTTTCGATTTTATTGTTATCATCGTTATTATTATTAGGTGTTATTAGGTATTATTAGTGTCAGTAAAATATTTTATTCGTTTGTACCGTGTAATTCGCGTTTTTTACCCAATCAAATATTATTATTAATATATTGTATTATATCATCATCGTTTACCTTCTTCACCGTCGTCGCTGCCGCCGCTGCCACCACTGCAGCTCGCCACTGCCGTTCGCTCCCACTCCGCCGCAGAGATTCACGCGAGACGCACTTACCGCCGCCACTGTTGCACAGGTAAGCGCCGTTCACTTTTCGTTCGGTTTGGTATTTTTTAATTTTTTTTTTTTTTGTGCGTTCATTCATACATCGTCCTTAAACCCGACCGTCGGCCATCCGCTGAGGCAGGCATACACGTGTGCAAATCTACGCATGTAATTAATCGTACGTGAACCTACACTCGTTTATTCGTTTTATTCGAGACTTGTTAGTTGTTGGTTTCGTTTTTTCATCCTCGACCACGGTCCACCACTGACCAATGTATCGGCTGTATACCTACCTAATGTAATTATGTTTCTGTATTGCATTGAAATCCCGGTTAGTGTGCACGCGGTTCGAGAATGATATCTATTATATTTTACAATAAATTATAATATTATGTCTTATATACAAATTATAAATTATTTTATTGATCATATTGACAATGGTTTGCCGTGTAATTAAAATATAATTGTTTTATCTTAACGAGTGGATCAAAATTAAAAATCAGTAAAAGTCGACTTCTTACATATTGAAAACGTTCGATGTCGTTGTATTTTTAATAAATGTATTAGTGATTTCATTATTTATCATTCATACATTTATTTGCCATGTACATAATATAATTATTTTCGAGTATACTTAGGTACACTCGAAAAGGGTTTTAAATGTTTATTTTGTATTCGAAAATTACACAAAGATTTTAAAACATTTTTTTTGTGTACCGAGGTGAACAATTTTTTTTTTTGTAAACAACATACATATTTTCATTTTACAACTCAAATTGTTTATTTTGTAAATAAGATGTCTACGGATTTACTTTTAAGATGCAATCGTTAAGATTTAAATCAAAAATGGTTGCTTATGCGGTGATAAGTCATAAGTAATCACAATGCATTTTTAACTCTTTGATGTTTGCTTTTGATTATTTCTTTTTCCTAAGGTGGTTTTAGTATTTAAGCTAACTTAAGTTTAAATGTTAATTATCCAATACTTACAAACAATTATGTATGAGCTATTTAAAATACCATTTAGCTTACAGATATAATGTAATATTTTTATTTATTATTTTTAAAATGCTGACATATTGTTATACTTTACTTTACTTTTAACGTTCTGTTTTTGTCAGTATTTTATTATACACTATAATATGGCTAATCGTTTCAACAGTTAAGATAATTTACAAAGATTTAGGAAACTTAAAAGGTTAACATTTCAATATTCCATATATGAAATTAAACTCAAGAGTAATGATTAAATTAAATTACATTGTTTTGTGTTTAAAAATCCATAATATATTAATTTTTAAGTTACCATAACACTGTTTCTTAAATTAAAATTATTATAGTGAGCATAGTTAGATATAATATTTATAGAGCATTTATGATGTAGTCAAAGGGCGCCAGCATTAAGGGGAGGATAATTTTAAGGTAACAAATTTGTGTATCTATAGGTCCATCTATACTTGTTTTTCATTTTTTGACCGGAGGAATTGAAACTTTTGTACTGAACTACCGAATAAATCAATGATATAAATATTTCAATTATTGTTTCTTACCACATGTATGTAGAATAATAATGTTGTTTTTAAAATTTAAAATTTAATTTAAAAATAAAAGTTTTATATAATAAAGTTGCACACATAAACTACATAGTTGGTCTACTTAGTTGGCCTATGGCTGTATGTTTAGGATTCAAAACAATAAAAAAAAAAAAAAAAAAAATACAAATAGAGACAGTACAATACATAAGGTGAATTACAGT